TCAACCGAAAGGGTTTGACCTTCTTAGTTCAAAACTGTAATTATATCTCAAATCGGTCAAGAGATGACGGAGCCATGAACTAAAAGTTTGTACTTAAAAAACAAAAAAAAACAACAAACAAACTCGGAGCCATTCTATGAGCTGCGGCTAAAAACAATATATTTATATATTTATATTAATTGATGTATAGGGTATATTTTTTCTTTAGCTAATAATTTTAGATGAATATATCAACATTAGAAATTATTTGTGCCTCAAGGAGAATAGATCTGTGAAAGACGTCTGGTTTGGATATGGGATATATAGAGAGAGAACCATATTTTTAACCGCAACACGTTTAAAAGTTTCAACAAATGTCTATTTTAGTAATTCATCCTATGTCTTTTATCTTTTTGATTCTATGGATGTTGTAAACACCATTCTATCAAAAGTATCTAGACAGTTCTTAACGATTGCCATGACCCACCCAGCATGGTAAGAGGTCATGGTGGGTGTAATTGTAAAGAGATATCGAATGGGTAGATCAGTAGTGTTAGTCTGTATTAAATGGCGAAACATCTGAATTATGCAAATTTGATAGAGTAGAGTTTGTAGGCTGCTGAAAGTCTGAAATCTCGATGTGCGCGAAAACACTTTGTTTGGTCACAAACAAACTATGAGACTGTTCAACATTATTAGTAGCTTGTTAGGTATCCAGGTTATCTAGGGTTGTTGTTCGATTGTGAGAAACGTTTACATGTTAGGTTAGCAAGAAGCACAAGGAATAATCTTTGCAAGAAATCCAAAGTGAATTTACTTCATTCAATGTTGCCACATACTAGAGGGCAAAAACTGAAGTATGTACAGCATGATCTTCATGAACGTGATTGCTTTGATAGAGCTATGATTCATAAACCGTGTAATAACCCCAAGAATGTTCGGCATAGTTTTACTTAATAAAAGGCACGTAATCACGGAAATAGTAGAGATTTTCGAGAGTTCTGTGAGTGATAAGAGCCGTTTCACACATTTTCAGAATGATGGCTGAAAATGAGCGTGGAAGCAGACAGGTGAGTGAATCCTTAAATCCTTCGTGGTGATGTTTGCCTTTTTTTGAAGTAAAGTGACAGGGAAGTTATTTACAGTATATCTTCATTCTTCAGCGAATTCAAACAATAGAGGAAAACCTACCAGCTACTAAGGACTCCTTTTTAAGGTTGTTTATCTTAATAATTATAATAAGTGCAGCCAAATATCGGTATTTTGCGTTAATTTTGCTTTACTGTTATTTATAAATGAAGTTTTCGACAGACTTGGTATTGTTTACCTGTGATATTTGAAATAAACAACTTTTGTCAATACTGAACACCAATCTCTGTTTTTTATATCTTCAAATATTGAAAAAAAAAGAAAGATATCAAAAGCTTATTATCCTTTAATTTTTGTGCGTAGTGTATATAGGAACTTATTAGCATGCCACTCCCAGTGCCACTACTCGTGCCTCCCAGTGGCACAGAGGTATATCTGCGGGCTTACAGCGCTAGAAACCAGGTTTCGACACCCGTGGTGGGCAGAGCAGAGATAGCCCATTCTGTGGCTTTGCGCTTATCTTTAAACAAACAAGCCAAGGCTTGTATTTGCTATGACAAGCTACTGCATTAGCATACATGTATACGAATAGTTCATATAAAATTCGACTACCCCTCTGTACTTTAATGTATTAGAAGTGTACTTTTTAATTTTTTATACTATGAAACCATACTCAGACCTAAACATTCAGTAATTTTAGGATTCGAATCTTCTGTGGGAAGAGGTTTGCCTTACGCGTAGCAATGGCAGTCCGAAGAAGCATTGCATATACTGCAACTTATATGTTCGTTTAGATAAACAGACTGCGTGCGCATTACAAGGAAAATGTAGTAGTGAAGATTAACCTCGAAATGAACATGGATATAAATGCAAACTGCCAGCTATTGCTTTTATTTTGCTCTATAAAAAGAACAACAAAACTTCTAGGTTCTGATGTAAACTACAAAAAATACACGTTTTTGTTTTATGAGTATTGCTCAGTGAAGTAATATACTATTTTATATAACTGCTTTATTTTCCTTTTCTTTGTTTTTTATTCCCTAGTGGAACAACGATAAATTTATGGATTTACGACGGACTTCGATTCCCCGGGGTGGACACAGCAGATAGTCCAATGTGGTTTTGCTACGAAAACAAACAAACTCTATTTTTTGAAAGTTGAAAGAAGAATAGATTGGAAACATGTATGAAATGCTGTGTCACGAAATTATAATTCGGATATTTCCAGTCTTTTATTTCCTTATTTTAGTTTTATATTACAATAAATTACAAAGAAACTTAAAACTATGTCAGTGATTAACATAGAACACAGTCGTCTAGACGGAATAATGAGTTAACAGCTTCTATTATAATACTATAAAAAGATATCTGCATATTTTAATTAATATGAAAAGTAATACATTGTTTGAAATTAGATAAAGATGACTATCTTTTTATATGACAATACAAAGATACAACAAAATATTAGTCTCAAGTTAAGTGATTTCACATTAGATCCCATTAAGAAATGTCTTTGTATTCCCGTTATAGTCTAAATTTTTGTATCCCTTAAAACTCTTAAGAAAATAAATACATTTACCATGAAACCGGATCTGCAAGTTTTTTAAAATTCAGATGTATTATCAAGGTTCATATTTCCCGTTAAAAATAAAATCTCAGAGCTGCATTATCCTAGATATATGTTGCACATACAGAAGAGCTGGATTGCTTCCTTTTTCTCATATAACGACTCATTAGTTTTTGGATATTAATTAAAAATTTCATAGAAAATAAATAAGTTAAAGCAAGAAATATAGATTGAATAAATTTTATTTATTACCAAACAGTTCCCCTCGACGTGGATTCCTGTACGTGGTGAGGGGACCTCCCAGGGAAGGTTATGCATTTACAGTTACTTTCTCTGGGATCTAAACATCCACCCACGTGTTTGCTGTGCGTGGCGACCCATGAAG